CAGCCCCGGCCCTTCCCCGCAGGTTTTGGGGAGCTGGCTCACACAGACTCTCTGGACGCAGCATCCTCTCCCGGCCAGAAGCCCACCTCGGGGTTACCCGTTTGTCAGGGAACCTCTTCCTCTGTTTTTTTAGCTCCAGTGCTGCCAGAGACGTTTCTGTCCCACTGGGTCAAAAACACACATCTGCCTTATTTCAAACCAAAAGGTACTTATCCCTCTTCCTCCTCCCCCAAATCTTAAGGAAAACTGTATTTAAAGTTTCTAACCCCCTTCCACACGCTTTTTGAAAAACGAAACATCAGTCATGGCAAAAGCTGCCGTCGATCCCGTACCAGGACAAAACCACGGGCAGAGTCTCACAAGAGCAGGACATCTTCCCGTGCCAGCAAGCTCCCAGTCGAAGCTTTGCTCCAGAAAACACAGCAAACCAAAGCTCAGAGCCCCCTCTCCCTCCAAACCTCTCCCACCGCAAGGCTGTAGCCCTCGGCGAAACCCAGACGTAGGCACCGAAAGCAGCAGGCTCCCAGCCTGCCCGTGAGGCTGAGCGTGTCTGCTGGCCCCGGCACGGGGAAGTGTGCACTGAGGCATCAAAATGCAACGCTCCCAAAGGAAAAAATAAATAAAGAATCAACTCAGCAGCAAACACTACTGAGAATAATAAGTAGCACAGGGATTTCACAGGGATTTTTGGTCTAAGATGCCTGTGGAGCCCCTTTGCCAGCAGGGAACGGGGTGCACATCCCGCCCTGGAAGAGCACAAGCCGTGGCAGAAGCTTTGCAGGAGCTCGGCCACGCTGAGGAGCGATGCCGCGGAGATGTGCCGGCGCACTGCGGGGAGCAAAGCAGCGCTGGGCTGGGCGTCCCGACAGCCAGGCTGAGGGCAGCACTGCTCACGCCGCAGGAAAGGCTTTGCACGGAAGTGCCGAACACGGCGACCCGTCCCAGGCTCTCCTGGCAGCAGGACAGAAGATGAGACCCTCCCAGCGGGAATTACCCACATCCCCAGGGCAGTGCAAACCTCCCATGGTGCGAAGGCAGGAGCGCAAGCCGGAGGAGCCACAGGGCTCACGCCGGGGCGGTGAATGGAGCAGTAAAAGCCGTAACCATCTGCCCAGGAGCGACGGGGCACCTGGGGCATCAGCAGCGCAGCCACAGCTTTCGCCTCTGCTGCATCCCGAGGGTGAAATGTCGGGATATGCAGGTCGCAGCCCATGGCACCAGCACTGCCCCGTGGACCAGACGATGCCAGCCATCCAGGCAGCGAGGGGCGAGGAGAAAGGCAAATAAAACCCCGTTACCCTCCAAGCACCTGCAGAAGCAGGAGGCAGCACCCAGGCAGCGCACTTGCCTCCTCCTTCCCAGGCAAACCCAGGCCTGCCCCGCGCAGCCTCTGCTCACATCCCTGCCTCCGACCCACGGAAACGAGACCCCCATCCCTGCAGAGCCTGGGGAGTTACCGCAAGGCATGCCATCCCCCGCCAGCGCCAGGGTCCCCACCCAAGGAGCCGGTATCTACCCTGCTCCTTGGGTGGCTGAGGAGGAGGAGGGTCTCCACGTAAGCCAGCATTTGCATGGAAAATGAGCAAGCACCCAACTTCTTGCAAGGGACTTGGGTCTGCAGTGGAAGCGTGCGAGTCCCGGGTACCTCCAAGCTGGTTTGGATACCCCACAGTCAGCGAGCGCCTGCTCCCAGTTTCTCGCTCAGCTGAGAATCGGTTTTGCTTCCATAAGAGAAGGGCTGGTGGGATTTTGGGGGAGGGAAGCGGGGGGAAGGTTGTGGAACTGCAAAGATTTAGTGCACCTTAAAACGAAAGGACATCTAACCTGCCCTTAGACCTCACTCCAAGACGGAAAAGAGCTATGGCATCTCCTACACTCACAACTACTCCAAACACACCCAGATGCATGCAAAACATCCCGCTTCCCCTCAGCTGCGGAAAACCCCTCCCGGGCAGCGACCATGGCCAGCACCGGGCTCCCGCTCCGCTCCCGGGCCCTCCCGCCCAGTCCCAGCGGGCAGGGTGAGGGGTCGATTATCAATCCGAAATGCATAGGTATAGACACCGCGGGGACACCCGCGCCCCAGCGGGAAGGGTCACCGCTGGAGCCCTCCACGTCCGGCAGGCACGGTCTCCGCTTCTACCTCCAGTTGGGTGGAAAGCAGCATTTGCCACAGGCACGGTTCGATCGCATTCATGCTCCTTGCATTGCCCTGCAAGGAAAGACGAGTCTTTTTTTGACGTCAGTCCCCCTCCTTTCCCAGCCACAAGCCCCTAGAAGTACTCGATTCAGCTTCCTGGGAAATCCTCCAGCTCAGCGATCCCTTTTCCGTGCCCCCGCGCCGGCCAGCCTCTCTTTCTGACTAAGGAGGAGCCGTGTTTTCAACCACAGCTACAAAGGCAGGAGAACCAAAGAGGTTTGCTTTGGCTCAGAAACCCCGTTCGTTTGCAGCAGGCTGGCAGCACCCAGGTCCTCACACACGCGCCCCGGCACTGCTCTACTTGGGAGGTATCACAACTATAGGCTGGCCTCGCTTGGGTCTCCACATGAGGACTTGGGCATCGTTGGCATTGGGTTTCACTAGTGCGTTTGGTGGGATGGGCTCCATCCTGCTGAGGATCCGGGGCTGTTCATGCTGAGTCCTTCACACCAGCCGTGGCCGCTGCCCCAG